AGATCTCCCTGATGCTTATCCAGTTGAAGATATTTCAAGACCTTGTCGGGTTCAGTTAAATCGACCCTAAGATTTTCCTGATGCTTATCCAGTCAAAGGCCTTCTCTGGTTCAGTCAGATCGACCCTAAGATCTCCCTGATGCTTATCCAGTTGAAGATATTTCAAGACCTAGACCGGTTCAGTTAAATTGACCCTAAGATTTTTCTGATGCTTATCCAGTCAAAGGCCTTCTCTGGTTCAGTCAGATCGACCCTAAGATCTCCCTGATGCTTATCCATTTGAAGATATTTCAAGACCTTGTCCGGTTCAGTTAAATCGACCCTAAGATCTCCCTGATGCTTATCCAGTTGAAGATATTTCAAGACCTTGTCCGGTTCAGTTAAATCGACCCTAAGATTTTCCGGATTCTTATCCAGTCAAAGGCCTTCTCTGGTTCAGTCAGATCGACCCTAAGATCTCCCTGATTCTTATCCCAGTAGAAGACACCCAAGATTTTTCTCAACGAGCGTTGTTGAAGTTAAAGTCACCCAAGGTTCTCTTATCATTCATGCTAAGGCAGTAACCATCCCTGGTTCATTCATCGCCGTTTGAAGCTCCAGACTCAGCTCCTGTAACCAGTCAGGATACATCTATACCAAGCATCTGAAAACCAACTCCTGCGACGTGTCAGGTACTCATTTGTTCTTTTGCAGGTATGCAGGTTCTCGCTAAGGAATCTCTTACGCGATCAACATCCAGATGGAATCTATAAGCCCATCATCCTATCCTGCAATCTCCAAATGGCATCTATAAGCCCATTCCATCATCACACTGCTACTATGTGAGCGCAAATTTCTGGGCACTCTAGTGTTCAATCATCTTCTACCCTCGGATTCCGAAAGGCACGTCAGCCAATCTGCATCCTCAGGTCTAAGAAGATTGAACAGGGGCAACTGTTGTACCCCAAAATTTGCCCTCCCATATTCTTCAAGAAATTGCCAAGTCAAGCTGCAAAATTCCCCAAGGGTTGCACAGTCCAACTGTCTCCTATACAGTCAAAACTAGGGTTTGTGTTCTGATCAAGAAAAGGAAGTTTTCAAGGGCCCAATCAAGTCTCATATGCCTACAAATATGGTCAAATATCCTCATATCAAGTTTCAAGGCATTCAGCTCAAAATTGCACAGTCAAAACCCTAAATTGCACTACAGTCAACTGTAGGGGCAAAATGGTCATTTGACAGTCAAAAGTTCAAATTTTTGGTCAACATATCATTTTGAAGCCACAAACATCATTTGATCAATGCTTGATCATGATTCTCAAAATTTGGCTCAGAAATCATCAAGATGCAAAAGTTTCCTTATTTGGACAGTTGAAAAAGTCAACTGAAATTGACCAGGGCATAACTTTCACATGGATTATCAGAAAAATTCCATCCAAATCTCATTTTGAAGAGAAAGACATTTCCTACAACTCATCTTCATACTTCAAATCCAAGAAATGCTCTCACAAAAAGTTATCAATTTCAACATTATAGGTCATTTTCAAAAGTCAACAAAAAGGGACTTTAAGTCAAAGGCCATAACTTGAGATTGGTAAATCAAAATGACATGGGACCAAAGGCATTGGTTAGAGGACTCAAAGACCTTTCCAAAATGTCCAAGAACATGAGAAAAGCTTAAACATTGAGCATGTTATGCCTTGTAGAAGTTGGGAAATTTTTGGATATTTTGAAAAGTCAACTTTGATCCAAATGACCTAAAATTGTTAATGGGCCCATTTTTCTTCCATGATTCATCATTCCAAGCATGTGCACGACCACTTGGCCCAAAGGGAAGTATTTTCTCATTTTTTATCTATTTATTTGAATTATTATTTATATTAATTCATTTAAATCATTTAAATATGTGAAAAATATATAACTTGACCTAATAAATCTTTTCATGCATGTTTTGCCCTCAATATTTCGTGCACATTCAAAAATAGGAAGATTTGATTTGATTTGAGCATAATTGATACAAGAGCACATGGAAAAGATTGAAAACATAATGGTGAAAAATCAAATCTCCAAATCCATGAATGAAAGATATTTGGATCAATTTTGTTAACCTAATCTATTCAGTACATAAGCATGATCATAACCCTAATGATGCTGGACACAAAAAGCTGCGCAAAAGAGCCATTGAAAAACTTGAATTTTTCTCTAAAAACTCAAAACTGAAAACAGCTTTCCAGGTCGATTCAAAGCACAAGACTTATTCCATTAGCTTCCTTGAAGGTTCCTGAACACATTCCAATCACAAGCATCCATCACCACGCCAAGAATTGGTATATTGAATCAAAACTGTACAGAAAAAAACTCATAATCGTATATCATATTCCACGCATTATTTGTGAAATTTATTCATTGATTCATGTTCATTATGATGTTGTGAAGCTAACCAATGCATTTAATTTGATTATTACGCTGTATACACGAATATGCCATGTTTAACTTTTAGGGTTTACAGAGTTCTAAGTTGGGGGTTTCTTGTTAAAGAAAAATTGGTCCTCCAGACCACCACCATTCAAACCAGCAAGCTTAGACGAAGAAGAATCCATACTCGCGATTAATTTATGGACACCATAGCTCTAGTCGCTATTTTCTTGAAACTGACCTTAAGCAACGCATAGAAAACCGTTGCCACATGTTTTTGTTTTCAGGAACACGTGAAGAAGATGAAGTCGTGGCCAGCTGTGATTGGCCTTTTTTGAATCAGCGCGCGTTTTTCATGTTTCTATGCCACTAACTAATTTTTGTTTTTTTATTATTTATTTGTTGTTGTATATACAAAGTGCGCGTTGAGATCAGATGGCAAGCGTGAGGTTTGACAAAGCATATGACCTGGGTTCGAGTCCCAGGTCTGGATTATTTTCAATATTACTTTTCCATGTATGTTCATATGCAGGCTCAGTAAGGTGGTTCACCATACACCTTCATTATCCAACGTCCACGCGTCCTGGGAAATCAGATCAAGGGCATGGATCTCAAGAACACGCTACGCCCTAGTCAACGCTTCAGCATACTATTCAAAAAGGTCAAACGGACCCAGGTTTTTTGGGCCAGACTATTCCAAGTTATACCTCCACTTTGGGGACTTCCACCCCCCCTGGTTTGCAATTTTCTTTTTTTATTTTATTTTCAATTGTTATTTTATTTTCTTTATTGTTTTAATTTAATTAATTAATTGATTATTTTACCAAATACAAAAAACCTCATAAAAATCAGAAAAAGATGAAAAATATAATAAGTATTTTATTTTAATTATTTTCATAAACAAATTGTATGTAAATAAATTTAGTTTTAATTTAGGTTGCAACTTTAATTCTTTTCATAATAAAAATATAAAAAATATAGAATTAGGTTTAATTGATAATTTTTATTCCTTTTAATTTTCCTTTTCACCATAATATTATTTATTTATTTATTTTTATAATTAAATTGTACATAAATAACTTAGGTTTAAATTAGGTTAAAAACTCCAATATTTTTCTTAATAACTTAAAATAAATTAGAACTAGGTTTAACATTTTATTTTAGTTTTAATTAATTCTTTTTCTATTAAATCTTCAAAAACATAAAAATACCAAAAACAAAAAAACAAATTCTTGCTTTCTTTTAATTTTAATTTTAATTCCTCGTTAATTTTAATTTTTTGCAAAAGGGTCCAACGCCCATGTTCTTAATTCTCCTTAATTCGCGTATCTATTTTATTGCTTGAATAATTATGTACCTCTCCCGAAGCTTTGTAACATTTACTTCTCGCATTCTTTTCAATTCTTTTAATTCTTTTACTTTCTTTATTTTCTGTCAAATCGGGTCCGGTTTAATTTTGGCGATGTGGACCCGCGCCATTTGTAATAGCTTTAGATTTACTTTTCCTCGCAACTTTTAACTGTTAAACAAAGCATGCAAGAATGAATGGCCATAATAAAATCAAGCGTAGAACACCAATAAACATGACAAGACAAATACAAATGAAAACGACACACGAATCGCACACACCACCCCTAGGGTACGCCTCACTGTTGCCTTGCCTCGAAAGGTGATCGTCGAGTAGAGGATGTCTTAGTAAGTCCTCATGATCCGGGAACCTGGCATGAGGGTAGCTTCTAAGGTGTCTTCCCATTACTCCGGTGATCACCATGTCCCGAACTTCGAATTGACCCGAACACCTCCAACGGTGGTGCTACCTACCTCTCAATGGTGGGATGGCACTACTTTAAAGGACATTTACACAGACGAATTCCTTAGGGTAGGTAGACGACTCATGGATACTTGCTCTCTTCAAAACAAACAAAAATACTTTTCACACCAACACATTTTCAAAAAGCTTTCAAGGCAATTTTTCAAACACTCTGACACAAGAGTCGAACTGGAATTTTCAAAGAAACTTTTTAAAAACCCATATTGAAAAGCAAATAAACCATTTTGAAAACACAAGTGAGCAAGTATCTAAGAGCCCGTGGATAACCATGGATAGAAAGGGTGCTAACACCTTCCCTTTCTATAACCTACCTCCCGAACCGAGAGCAATCTCTTTAAGGAATTTTTCTGTGCTTTTGTCCTTTCCATTTGGAGAAAATAAAAGACGGTGGCGACTCTTGCTTCCGCGACATTTCGCGAACCAGCGTTAAACAGTCAGTTCCAGATCCATCGATCACAGGTATAAACCAGGAAATGACAATAAGGAAAATGATGTTTTATCCAGGCATATGACTTATGCATCCATGTCTATATACTTAGATGAGTGGGAAAAAGGAGTTCAATCAAACAGCAAAATGAATGTTATTATGCCAGATCTGATCTGAGATTTCCCTTCACATCTAAGTCCTTCCTTCTCCTTTTTTAGCGCTTCATCGTAAATACAAGTCATGTTTTTTAGCCCGTAAGAAGGAAGTTGTTTAAAGCTTACATATTGATCTTATTATCACCAACCTATATGAGGTTATAAATTGGCTATGAAGTAGTTTTGTGCTTCCATGCTTGATATTGTGAAAACTACTATGTCAAACACCACTTATTCCAACCAACAAGGTTTTAAATTTCCTATAAAGTAGTTTTGTGTTTCTATTGTTGGTATTGTGAAAAATTGATGTCAAATACCACTCATTCCGAGGAGTTAAGTCATGTTTCATGCCTTGGTACTGCAAGAGTTTGATCAAATACAGTTGGTGCAGGCTCAACTGTAGTTGCGTTATAGTTGCAGAGAGATAGAAAGCCTCGACTTTGTAGTTCAGATTCCCGTCCTAGACTTTTATTAAAATCTTAGAAGATGCGGCTGCAGTTGCACTTGATGTTGCAGAGACATGGAAACTTGATATAACTGCCGCAGTTGTAGTTGCGGATAAGTTTTGGATCCTTTGGGAACATACCTTGTTAATATATCATTATTGATATTGTTATTTAGTAAGCTCTTATTGATAAATATTTGATTGGAACAGATATATAGCTCCTCAGCAAGTGCCAGTTCAATATGGAGGACTTAGCAGAGAGGGTGAACAGGAATTCACCACTGCTAACCCTGCTACAGAGGTTATTATCAAACCAGCAACAAAACATGCTGTTGAGTTCCCAATTTCTGAGATGAGAATAAAAACTTGTTTCATAACCAAAACCAATCTTATCATGGTTTTGGTTTTGGTTTTAAATTGTGGTTACGTATATGGTGTGACCCTTTATACCACAATTACTGTTGTGAACTGCAATTTAAAACCATGATCTTATGTGCATATTTAGTATTAGTATCTTAACTGAATCTGAATGATTGAATGAGCAGAAAAGCACCTTGGTATGGGAAATCAGAGTGGTGGACTGGAATGTGAGCTATGGAGCAGAATTTGTGCCTAGTGCTGAAGATGGATACACAGTGATAGTACAGAAAAACAGGAAAATCTCGCCAGCTGATGAAACAGTAATCAACAACACCTTCAAAATCGGTGAACCTGGCAAAGTTGTACTCACCATTGATAACCAAACATCAAAGAAAAAGAAGCTTCTTTACAGGTCCAAGACCATACCCATCTCTGAGTAAAAATGGCTTCAAAGAAAAAAGTCTGAATTCTTCATTAACAAAGAGAATGATGATACCAAGGTGAAGAAGAATACTAAGGGTGTTGTTTTGTATTCATTATAAGGATTATAACACTGTTGTGAAAGTTATTGGGTGGGTTACTTATATTCTTTTATATAGGGTTATTTTGTTCATTTGGGTTGTAAATTATTTTTGTTTCATGTATGGGGTTTGGGAAATTTTATTTACAGTTATTATTACTTATTAATATCTTCAATAGTAATGTGGTGTTTTCTTCTTTTGAATTTGAATTTGTTTGTTATGGACTCAATTGGGGTTCCTTTATAAAAGAAATTTTCATTGTTTTTGTTTATAATTTATTTAATGTATTAGTTTTGTTTGGTTCCCACCTGTTTGTTTTCTGTTTTCTTGGAGGTTTTGGGGTATGTTCTAGGGACATATTACCACGCCAAAATCGCCCCACACAAATGGATTTTGAAAAATTGTATGGCTTTTGATAGCACTTTAATTAAAACGCTATTATAAATTGGTACTTTAATAGCGCTTTTAAAGTGCTATTAAATAAGAAATATTTACAATAGTGGCGCGGTTAATAGCACTTTTAAGCGCTATCAAAAACAAAAAAAAAGCGCTATTAAATAGCTTATTTGGCGTAGTGAAATCAGTCTATAATCGTCCAAAGACAGTGGGTTTGGAGCCTTTGACATTACACCCCCAAAATGAAAGCAATTGAAGAAACGTATGAAATCATCTTTAAGAAAATACCAACACTTCTTGATGAACTTAAAACAATACCCATCTGGACCTAGACTTTTAGAACTCCCACAATCCCAAATGGCTTCATTTATCTCTTCCTCTTGAAAAGTAATTTCAAGAGACAAACTATCCTCCATACTAATACTTTAAAAATAAATCCCTTCCAACATCAATATCTTCCTCTCCAACTCAATAAACTTGTTTGAAAAATGATTTTGAACCTCCTTAATCTTTGTTACCGACTCCAACATACCACCAGAAGAAATCTCCCGACCTAAATGATTATGTCTTCTCCTTTCCTTCATCACCTTATGAAAGAAACTACTATTAGAATCTCCTTCGTTAAGCCATTAAACTTGTTTTGAAATAAGTATCATTTTGTTTTATTAATATGATATTAATATGATATATATATAACTCGGATAACGTTATGTCGCCTTAAAGAATAAGGTTCATGAGTATACAATCCTAGTTAATTGTCTTAATACTAGGCACGGGATAACATGTCCTTTAAAAGGAGCAATATGTTAGAACATAGTTTGGTTCTACATCTTAGTAATAGTTTTGATGATAACAAATACATGATATATATATATATATATATATATATATATATATATATATATATATATATATATATATAAAGAACAAATATGCTCTCTAATAAATTGTTTAAATATGCAGAGACGTTCTGACAGAAGAGCATATAAGATGATGAGAGTATTTGCATTTTGAAGTTCTGATTAGACGAAGCGTACAGACTTAGAAGCAAATCCGTGTAACACGCTCAATAGAAGAAGTTATGATGTTATAACTTCTGAAGCACCAAAGTTGCAAGCTAAATTTTGATACTCTGATAAGTGAAGTTCTAGAAGAACAAAGGAAGTCTCAACGCACTCATCTATTCTGAAGTTCTAAGACTCAGCACTTAAGCTCAAGTTATACTCTAATAAGTGAATATTCTGAAAGTACAAAGAAGCTTCAACGTGTCTGTCTCATCTAAGTTTTGATCATATGAATCTCAAGAAACTATGATGATCTAAAGTCTCAATGTTAATATTCTTATTCTGATCAGATTTTAAAGAAGAAAAGTTTTGATGCGTTACAATTCATTCATTACAAATCAAAGAGTAACGGCTGGAACAAGACAAGATCTCTATTTTTGGAAAGTGCATTAATAACATTTTATCAACCTTCCAAAGATAATTTCTTATGTCTCCAACAATTTAATTCACTTCCTCTATATAAAGAAGACTATGAAAAAGAATCAGACATCACTCATACATAGCAACAAGAGCGATAAAAAACATTCTCTATTATCTTCTCTTGAATTATCAATGTGGTTTAATCTTTGTGTAAACATCTCAGTTGTGATATAGATTTTTAGAAGCATTTTTAAATATATTATTTTTGTTAGAAAAGTTGTAATTCCTTGAGAAACCAAGTTGTGGTTTAGTCTCATGAAGACATTGGCGGTAGTCTTTCTGAGTTGTAATTCCTTGAGAAACCAAGTTGTGGTTTGATCTCAAGAAGACGTTGGTAGTTGTCTTCGTGAATTGTAATCAAGTTTTGATTTGTTGATTAAGACCTCAATTGAGAGAGGCTAAATCACCTTGGCAGGTGGATTGGAGTAGTTTGAGTTCAAACGAATTAGGATAACCAAACATGTCATACTGTTTTTATTTTTAAAAACTCCAATTTAAACCCACATTTATTGTGTATTTCTGTCCTTCACAATACGCCACCCAATTAGGCTCAGAGCGTATGAAAGTGGTAACCGGTTAGAAGAATGATTCTAATAGAGAGAACCATCTCCCTGTGATTATAGAAAACATCTAATCTTCCTTTTTCCCATGTCTCTAACCTGAAAGGCATGGAAACTGTTTTCCTTGCAGTATAGTCTGACCCAAGAGGGCTCTATAAATATCGCGAAAATCTCCAAGGTCAAGGGTAGACATAAATTTTATGTGAGAAAATACAGGATCTCTTACAGCCATTACGTGGGTTGATCTCACTATTATACATTTAGCTTGTAGATTGGCGCCCATTGTGGACCCGGTAAAATTGATTTGGATCTTAATTTCAACTCATGTTACGTACGCAGCAAATGGAGAGCGACAAGGACACTACGATCGTTGGGGAATGGAGATGGTGATCAAGAAGATGACGACGAAAATGATGAAGAAAACCCCTGATGAAGAGGTAGATGCCCCGCCTCTAAATTGCACGCTTGTTGGAAGAGGCTCAGTAAAGAAGTCGAACTACCAACGGCTCATTATAATGATGCTTTAAGGGTTAATTATGTTGAAGTGTAATCCAAATTCAACCCATCTTAGATTTGCATTTTAATTAAATTTGAGTTGCATTTAAGATTGATAGTATAAATATTGAACTCAAGATTCAGTGTGATATAGAATTCATTTTGTAACCGTTTTCTTTTGGGTAAAGTTTTTTAGAAAAGTTAGTTACTCTCATTTTCTCTCTCTTCTCTCTTCTCTCTTCTTCTTTCATCTTTATCTTCAACCTTGTGCACCAATAATTTGTATCTAGAGCTCTAGTTACGATTCACAGGAAAACATGAATGTGTGTTAAGCGTGTGTGAGTAATTTCATTTCTTGCTTTCGCATTGAATTTACGATCAAAATCGGAACATAATCACATTTTTTATTCTGCGAGATTGGAAAACACGAGTGTTGGTGAGATCTGAGTAAATTTGCACAAGAACAAAGATGAATGGCGGAAACTGTATCTTGAACATAAAGCTTATAGTATTTTATAGAAAGAAATGGAATTTATGGATGATTCAAATGCGTGTGTTGTTTGGCGCTCAAGATGTTCTTGATCTCGTCAATGACGGTTGCACGCCGATTGTAGCAGATGAAAATGAAGTGCAAAGAAACGTGCAAAGAGAAATGAGAAAGAAGGGTCATAAGGCATTATTCTATATCCATCAGTGTGTGGATACAAATGTGTTTAAGAAGATCACTAATTTAACAACGCAGAGGGTTGCATGGGATACTCTGGTAAGATCTACGGCGGTGAAGCATCAGTAAAGAAGGTGGAGCTTCATAGTCTATGTAAGAAGTGTGAGAATCTTAACATGAAGAACAATGAGAAGATACTAGATTACAACTCTAGAGTGATTATGTTCACCAATGAGATAAAGGATTATGAAGAAACGCTCTTTGAACAAGTTATTATTGAAAAGGTACTCAGGTCCCTTATACATCAGTTTGATTACATTGTAGCAATTAAGTATTCTAAGAACCTAAGCACCATGAGAATTAAAGAGATGCATAGTATTTTAGTGGCAGCGTTGACGAACGAGACTATTGAGAGTCTCAAGAATGAACAAGTTGTTATCGCTGATTCAAAGGTGATTACAACAGTTGAGACTACTGAAGATCTCAAAAGTGGCAATGGCAATCTGCCCAAGCCACATATTGATGATTAAATGTTGTATTAATCAAAACTACATTTTTTTATTTTTTCCAAATACATTTTTTTCAATTTTTCAAAATCAACTTATCGATGAATTGACTTTGGGAGTCACAAAAACACGTCATTGACTCTAGAGTTACTCATCATTAATAATATATTGAAAATATGATTATTAATCAAATGACTCATCATTAATGATTTTTTGAAAATACAATTATCAGTTAAAATTTTACAACTATCCTATGTTTAAGAATACAAATCATCAATTAAAGGATTATATTTAACATTTGTAAACTATTAAATTAATTTCGCTTAAAAAATAGTATCACTATATTTTATATTCAATTTATGTAACCATCGAAATTGTATTTTACAATTTTAATTATTTTTACATTATTAATTATTATTTAGTTTAAACCTTTAATATTTTTTTAGACTTATTAGTTGTGTAATTATAAAATAAAAAATTATTTAAATGATTATATGCTACATAAACACATATTATTTTTCTGTTTTAGATTCAACATTAGGTTTTTACTTAGAATTAAAATACAAGTATATGTGCCCAATTTTGAAATTTAAGATTGCTTGGTTGTAGTTAATTGTAAAATAATATAAAATTACAATTTAAAATTATATAATATTAATAGCATTTATTAAATTTACAATACAGCAAAATTTAAAAATTATAGAGATATTCGACATGCCGAACTTATTTTTCTGACAGACCGACAAAAGTGTAAGATTATAAATAATTGATCTTTTATTTATCCTTTTATAAATAAATTAAAAAATTAAATTTA